TTTTATCATATGAATATATGACATTAAAACCTGGCTAAAATAAATAACCTTGTAACCATGATGTGTCTATAAACTTTCATAGTTCTTCTAATGATTGAATTATTAATGTTGCATAAATGAATTCTGTATGGAATATACACTATTTACCTTTTTGGTGGTTCTGTTATTTTTCCATGTGTGAACTTGATCTTTGCAAATAAGACTGGATTATCTGAATTTGGGTTTCTGTTTACTGAGCCCTTTTTAATCCTCCGAATCTGTCAGGCCCTAGTTGGAACTATATCATTGCGGAGGACAAAAGCTGCAGAAAATGGAAGTAAAGGTTTGGTAGGGCTGCCATCTAAAACTATTGAAACCTGTTTTGTGGAGCTCTCTGCTGAGGAAAGAGAACAGTATGATCGATTGGAAACAGAAGCTCAAAACACCATTAGGGAGTACATTGATGCAGACACTGTATTACACAATTATTCCACTGTGCTTCATATAATATTACGACTCCGGCAGATCTGCAATGATGTGGCATTGTGCCCTTCAGACATCAAATTATTCCTTCCATCTAATGCTCTTGAAGGTTAGGCATGTTCACATTAATTTTTAGTCTTCAATGAGCACTTGATTTTCTACCTTTTGGCATTTTGCCAAATCATGTACTGCTCATGAAGTTATTTAGTTTCATTTTGATGGCAAATGCTTTTGAGTTCCTTTCAGTGCTAATCATGAGGAAGGTGATATATTTTGTATATAACTATATATATGCATGAACATATGTGGTGTATATGCATGCATTTATGCATGCATTTATGCATGTATATTTTTAAATATTCCTGCTTAATTGAAAGTATTGTTAGCTGTGATAAACAAATCCAATTTCATCTTTTGTCCAACCTGTTGTATTTTCGGGGTAATTACAGATAACCCCTATAGTTAACTATGATTAACATTTTGGTCTCTATACTTTAAAAAGTGGTATTGGGATCCCTATGCTTACAAGGTGAAATATTTAACCTCAATATTTAAACGTAATTTTATTTTTTAATTATTAAATATATATTCTTTAAAATAAGGTTCGCAATATCGTACCGTACCGGTATTTCAACCTGGGCTCGGTACCGGTATGGTACGGTATACCGAGTGGTACACCCAGGTGTGTCGAGTACTGTAGCACTGCTACAGTGCACTCGGACCGGTAACAGGCGGTCCGCGTACCGGCAACCTGTCAGACCGGTACGTACCGTCCGTATCGGGCGGTACAGTTCGGTACTGCAGACCCTGCTTTAAAATATCCTAATCGTTCTTTCTCCTCCCCTCTCTCCCACGCTCGACCTGCACTCTCGACCGTCGTCGCTCCCGCACTACTCGACAGTTGCCTCTCCTGCACCACTCGTTGCCGCCGCAACGGACCCGCTCGACCGCCTTCGCACCTGCACCGCTCGCCGCTGCCTCTCCTGCACTGTTTGCTGCTATCGATCTTGCACCGCTCAACTGCCACCTTTCCTGCATCGCTCGTCGTTGCCTCTCCTGCACTGTTTGCTACTGTCGCTCTTGCACCGCTCAACTGCCACCTTTCTTGCACCGCTCGCCGTCACCACACCGGACCCGCTCGACCGCTGCCGCTCCTGCATTCCAATTGCCATAAACTTCTTGATTGGAATGCAAGAGCAGCGGCGGTCGAGCGAGTCTGATGCAACAGCGGTAGCGAGCGAAGTAGGAGATGCGGCGGCAGCAAGCGGTGCAGGTGCGGCAACGGTCGAGCGGGTCCGGTGCAATGACGAGCAGTGCAAGAGAGGCGGCAGTCAAGTGGTGCAGGAGCAGCGGCGGTCGAGAGCGCAAGTTGAGCGTGGGAAAAAGGAGAGGAGAAAGAATGGTTAGGGTATTTTAAAAATATGTATTTAATATTAAAAAATAAAATTATATTTTTATCCTCCTTATTTTCACTTTTTTGCATATGACAACACGTGTGATTTTTTTCCATCAAGAAAATTAATGAAGTAAGAAGAAATTTGAGTTAAATGTTTCACCTTTATAAGTGTAGAGACCTCAATACTACTTTTTAAAGTAGGGATCGGGATGCTAATCATAGTTAACTATAGAGGGTTATCTGTAATTACCCTTGTATTTTCCTTTGTAGCATATTTATATTCATTATGTCTAAATGTTGATGGTAATTTAAGTCTGCTGTTAAGTATATCAGGAATTAATTTTTATAAAAGGGGCTTGTGTATGATCACTTTCTTTTGTCCAAGGAGGATTTCTTTACCTTTCTGTTATTAGGTCAACCTTGTAGCATCATATAGGAGATCGAATTGATTTTTTCTGTACTACATTTTAGTTGAGTTATTTGCAGGAGATTCTTTAGCTTCTAGCTTGTTATTCTCATTGCAACAATTGTTTGTACTTTATAGTTTAGACTATATCACCCTGATGGCCTCACCAAATTTGGAAATCCGAACTAACAGACTGTTGTTTGCTACAGAGTATGTCATTGGAAACCAAAAGGTTTGTTCGAACAGCTACTGATATTTCTTTGCATTACCTAGTTACAGTAAAGGAGAATATGAAATTCAGACATAAAATGTAGTTGCTGTTATAACATTTACGGATGTATCAAGTAATAGATTCATGAACTGCCTATCTATCTACAGTTAGTAGTCAGTTTTGTAATAGGCTGAATGCCTGGATCTCTAATGAGATTATGGTTCTAGAGCTAGCCTAATATTTTCAGGTTTGTCTTCTCATTAAAATGGTCGAACGTCAAACATAAGTAGCATGGAAAATTCCAGCACAATTTGCCATATTTTTATGTTCAAGTACTTGGCTGTATGTTGATCGGTGTTGGGTGACTTTCACATCACATGAACATTGTCTAGGGGTTCAATTTTTCACTGTAAATATTTTTGTTAATATGATCTTGAAGTGGAAGAGAAATTTGATTTTGGTGTTCAGAATAGGGCTCTGCAATATCTCATGATTTAACATGGACTTTGTGGATTGATGCATCACCTTTACATTGAGATTCTTTTCAGGACTGATTTCAGGATCAGATTCATAAGATTGAATTATAAACAACACAAGAAAATGAAATCTACTTTGATGAGTTGTTGATGTTTAAGAGTAAATGGCTGGTGTAGCCTCTAGATCTCTGATCTGTCATGGGATGAACATTTAATGATCTGTAGGCAGGACTTTAGTCATAGCTGATCTAGAATTAAAAATAAAGCTGCTTGAATTATTAGGATCAGAGGTAGTATCAGAATCATAACTCCTCTTATTTGGATATATATTCTACCCAGATTTTATAATTGAAATATTTCACATCCAACTTGGATAATCATGGATGTGTAGGATCTTAAAATGCTGCATTGGGATTTTAACAACATTATGAGTTAGGAACTTCACCGTTGAATAGCAAACCAAGCTTTTCCCTTGCCATATTGTGCAGTACTATTTCTTTTCTTATCATAATTGTAGAGTGCAGATGTCTATACTCGTTTCATTTTCACCAATTAAAGTTTCTGACACACCGATCAACGGTTACTGGTCTCAAGTGTTGTTGGCATGCTTTGTTGTCTTTGTTGTATTACTGATTTGAGGGATGTCACGTCTTGTGGCAGATGTGTCTCAGAACCCAGAATTGCTTAAGAAATTGGCATCATTGGTAGAAGACGGAGATGATTTTGACTGTCCAGTTTGCCTCTCTCCACCTCTGAAGACAGTGATTACATGCTGTGCTCATATATTTTGTCAAGCCTGCATACTGAAAACCCTGAAACACCTTAATGCTTCATGTCCTATCTGTCGTCATCCCTTATCAAAAACAGACCTTTTTGTGGTCCCACCAACAAAATCTACCAATGATGATGGGTCAAAAACTTGCTTATCAAATAGACCATTATCTTCTAAAGTTTCATTCTTGTTGAAACTTCTATTAGCATCCAAGGAGCAGAACCCTTCAACAAAGTCAGTTGTCTTCTCACAATTCAGGAAGATGCTTATTTTGCTTCAAGAGCCACTTAAGGATGCTGGTTTTGTGATCTTGCGATTGGATGGCACAATGAGCACGAAGAGGAGGGCTGAGGTGATCAAGAGATTTGGAAAATGTGGCCCCGGGGAACCGACAGTGTTGCTCGCCAGCCTTAAGGCTGCAGGCACAGGAATCAATCTCACAGCAGCATCTAGAGTTTACCTCATGGAGCCATGGTGGAACCCAGCAGTCGAGGAGCAGGCAATGGACAGGGTGCACAGGATTGGGCAGAAGGAAGAGGTGAAGGTGGTGAGACTGATAGTAAGGGGCAGCATAGAGGAGAGGATTCTGAAGTTGCAGGAAAGGAAGAAGAAACTAGCGAGTGGGGCCTTTGGGAGGAAAGCAGCAAAGGAACAAAAGCAAGTTCGTCTTGAAGACCTACGCATCATGATGCACCTGTGAGTTCTTACCTCAAAATTTTGAACAATTTCATGTGGCCAAGCACATATATGACATGCATGCATGTGTACATGAACGTGTGTGCATGAAATTTTGTCATCATGCCTGATTGTGCATACCTACCCTGTACACATCAGTTTCCCTGCTGGTTTTTGAATCCATAGGAACCTTGGATGTGTTGTTAATGAGATGTAGGAGCATCAAGCATGTATGGTTCAACCATTGCCTGTTGCTTCCCTTGTGGTGTAACTTTCATTTGATGGCCATCAGATATCTCCTGAGCAATCTTGATTTATGTCTCCTTCACCAGAAGTGGCATAGGGCTAATGATTCTGTAAGGTCAAATTTTCGCTCTTTTTGAAGCAAATGTTTCTGTAATATGATATTTGAGATTGTAGTTGTTTACAAACTACGTCAAATACATGCATTATGCTATTTCATTGAGACATGTAGGCACCTAATTCTTGAGTCAATCGTATTGTACTAATCGAGTCAACTAGGGTGGTTCTATTGTTGATATAGTATATGATTAGGTTGAATCAGAATGACACGAATTATTTGATATATTATAAGAAGCTTGTTAATTAAGAGTGGATGATACTTGAACTAATTGGAGCTTAGTTATAATGTTTTAGATATGATTACAATGTTTTGATTCAATAATGAAAATATATTATAATTCCATTTTGAAACACTGTAATTAACTAGTACCATATTTTTCTTAATGTCATTTCTTCACAATACATAAAAATAAATATTTTAAGTTTTTTAAAACATGTAAACCTAAAGTTAATGCTAAGTGAAAAGAAATGAATATTTGTCATCCTTTGTTTTGAATATACCAACATATTCTTAATTTCCATCCAAAACTATCAAAAAAACTCATAAATTATTTTGTGATGGGGTATAATACATATAGTGAATGGGAATTTGAACTAATTATATATATATATAATGTTTTCTGTTTAGTATCTGTATTATTAGATTATAATATGACTACATAGAAGTAAATGGTGTCTAGTGATCCATTTCCCTCAAAGTTTATCACTGAGAGAATCTTTTATGTACTTTCATTTTTATGAAGAACAATTTAAGCCTGTTAACGAGGAAATCTGAATGTAATAATAATTTTTTGATGAAACACCATCTAAGGATGCATACCCAAAGCTTCTGCTATGAAAAATCCGAAATGTTCCATCATTTCTTTCACATAAATCTAAAAGCTTAAACCTTTTAAGTCATCAGTTCTCACATGAAAGAAAACGCTCTTGTACATTGATGATAGAGCCTCTTGTGCAAGTAATGGCTCTTTGCATGCACTGATCAAGAAACAAAATGCCCATCTTAATCAACTGATGCTATGATCACAACACATTTCTTATGTCCTGCTGTTTAGGCCTGTCCAAGGGAAGAGGGAGAACAATCCTTTTTCGATTATGCTCGATGTAATTAATCGATCGAAAAAAAAGTAGTACTGTTTAAAAGGTTCTTAAGTCTCCAATTAGATAGAATTTAGAATAACGCAGCTGCATACCAAGAAAGAGGCATGAAGTAGCTCAGAAATTTCCACATCAACCGGAATCAGATGTTTGTGCCGCATAGCTCGAAGGTGAATGTATAAGGTCCAATTTATCTGCTAGGATAAATTTGTTTCTGCAATGTAGTTGCATCTCAAACTTCTCTTAATTCCTTTTATCAGCTTCAATAAACAAATACCGCAATCAGCAATCCTTTGTCAGTATCACCTCTTTGTTTATCTTAAACTGAAATCTACAGAGGAAAAAAAGATGAAGGCTGAGAAGCTATGCATTCTCCACTGTTTTCTCTGGTACATCATTAGAGAACTTGTCAAAATTGTTCCCTCATCAAACTTTCAGAATTTGCAATATATATATATATATATATATATATATATATATATATATATATATATATATATATATATATATATATATATATATAT